AGAAGACAAATTTATGTGTCAAGCCCATTCCGTCCAGTAGTCGTGAATTTCCACTACATTTCATCGAATGTACTATTAGTCAATGCCTCCTGCGTATCAATATCTGGGCCTAGAACCAATTGGGTCAGCTCGTTACACGGCCTGTCGATCAGGATTAGCTGTCGCTTGTGCGTCCATCAAAAACGTCAGACTCCATCCAAATTGTTGATTCATTATTTCACCTCGTCTCAATTCTTCATTATATCAAAATCAATAAGTGCCGAGTGTTACACATTTGCTGGCTCATAATTCCCACCTTTCGACACCATAAAAAGTGAAAATTTTAATCCACTTACTGTTATTATATTCCTTGAGTGGTGACACCTGGTGACTTTTTATATTTGCCAAACTCCATTGCGAAAACGCATTCTTCATTTTTCCAATAGAAGCTAGGCGATTTGGGTCCGGCCTAGCCTTTCTTCGCAAAAAAAAAATCCGGTCGAAAGACAGAAATGGTCTATAAAGTCCCCAGGGTTCACCGCAAGTGGAGGCCCATTATTAATAAATTTTTATGACTCCTTTTGCCGAATGATTGATAGACAGTCGAATGGCACGCGTGTAGGTGGGGCTGGCGAATGCCTTCTGTTTTCAGTCGGTCGTGTTTTTGTTGCGCACGCATTCCCATGTCATCGGTACGCCGTCATTGATTATCGATATCGTTATGACTCTTTCCTCATACTTATCTGTGTAAGATACACGTGACTCGAGATATTCTGTTCGTTACGGGGAATTAAGTCACGTGCAGAGAAACAGCCGGTGCACCTCCACACAATTTCCACACGTGAAAAACAGATATATTGATATTACCGGGGCAATAAACGCCACATGTGATAAAATTACATGAGCAACAGGAGCTGAATAATATTTAACGCAATCTGGGACTCATCACCATCGCCATTTACTGAGAATTAATTATGATTGAATCATCCTAATATGTATTATGCCCTGTCCACCAGCTGGGACTGCAGGAGTTGAAGAAGCTATTAGTGCAAGGACGCCACCACCAGGTGGCCAGGATTTACTATTAGAAATTAATCGATTGCATGGAAAGTATCGATTTTCCCCCCAAAATATGGGTTCGTTTGATTAATCGATCGAACACCGCCCATTCCTGAAGGCATTCCTAGTAGTCAACTTCAATCACTAAATACTTCCTCATTAATTATTTATGTCATATAATTAGAATAATATTACCATTCAATTACCTTCAGCTCTATCTTTCGCAAACATTTACAATTTATCACCAACTTTATGGAAAATGGAGTCTTTACGACTCTTTCTGCGGATAGTGTGAAAGTCGAGGCAATTAGTATTAGAGCACAAAGAGAGATGAAACAATAAATAGAATAATTACAATAATTATGTGGCTTTTAATAATTATTAGCTCATCTGCATTTTTATTCCGAGATAAGTAACAGCGTGGAATTCATCAGCAGTAAATGGTGGAGGTTATGACGACGCAGGTACAGGGACGCCATCGCAAGGTGGCGCCGCAGCTCAAACCGCTAAATACTTCCTCATTAATGATCTACATCATGTACTAGCAGTAATATTACCATACAATTACCTCTAGTTCTATCTTTCGCAAACATTTATAATTTATCAGTAAGTTTGGCTTTATGACTCTCTTTTCGCGTACACTGTGAAAGTCGGTGCAATTAGTATCAGGACACAAATGAAGAGATAAAAAAAAAATTAGCAAAATGGTGGGCCGGATGCAGAAGAAAGGAAAGATAGCCCCCGGCGGGTAAATAAACGGGTGGACACTTGTACCGTAATTGGCAGAGAAGAATGCGCCGGGTTATTGGCCGTTGAGAATGCGTTAGGAAATGAAGGTGGATGTACCCTAAAAGGTGAAGATAAATCAAAATGCTAATTACAAATGGTGGAAAAAATCTCGGGGGGTCAACAGACAACTCATTAAAACAATACCCGTCTATCTTGTCATCGCAAGTCAGTGACATTGATTTCAATTAAGCTTCCGACTTCTCTTTATTAATTTCACTGATTGAACTCCCGATGATTGAGGACACGATTGCCATTTCTGGAATGAAACTCATGTACCTGAATAAAATTACATCCCAAATCAGTGGAACTCGTTTAAATACTGGTGTAAATGTTCGAGGGCTCGGCAGTTGGTGCCCCATACACGGATTATTTTAAGTGGTCGACGATGAAGAGGAAAGGGGTCCTAAGTCAACTGCTCGACGAACGAGAGTGAACGTGCGAGGGTTTCTCAAACACCTCGATGATTTTTTTTTTTCTTCTCCTTTCTTCTCACCAGTCACGAGCCGGTGGTGGTCACGTGTACGATCAGTGTCAATGACAGCATTGTGTGCATACAAGGTATGTACCCTTCTCTTTAAAGGTTGCTGGACTTATCGATACAACCCGTCTTCAGGGTAATTGTCGTGTTATTATTGCTGGCAATCAATTGCACCTGAAATGGGGTGCGATCGAAAGGCCGAGGGTGACGCCATCTTGCGGTGTAACTTAATTTTTTTAATAATTTCCGGAGACCGGCGGTTTAGACGACCTAATCAGGCCGCATCATAACGGCCACAGCTTTATCTACCTTTTAATTAAAGTCTCTACAATTATAAACAGATTTACGACCAAGGAAGGAGTTTTCGAATCTCATAACCCTCCACTCGCCAGCGGTTATCGCGAATTCTCACGTCTAAGATTATTGACTCGAACATATGAGTGATCTTAAACTTGATAATCACACGATCGTGAATTTTTTTCCCGCAAAGTTCACCGATGTCAACTTTCATAATTAAATCCAACCCAACTCCCCCCCTGATGAAAGTCCATTTTTCGCGATTCCCCCTGGAATCGATCTGCGAAACGCAGGATAACAGGATATTTATCTTCCGCTATTTTTTTAACGTGGCCTACATTACACCCGTGTAGTATGCGTTTTGCCTTGAGTGTACAGCCGACAGTGTTGAAACCAAATGGATCGTGGAATAATAATAATTCACGTGAGTCCGGGGGAGTCCTAGGCTAAACTCACGTGCAGCACGTGATCCAGACGAGAATGCTGCACGTGCCGACACAGCCCTTCCATCGTAATGTGTATGTTACAGTGATCATGAGAGCGTCCAGCGGCAGATCGGGTAAAAGTCGTAGTGGTGATGGCGAATGAGTCACGTGCGCCTTGAAAAATAATCGGCGAGAGGCTGGTCTATCCCGTCAATCAGTTAATCAATAGAATCCCCCGTGAGATCCTCTCCTTTCATTGATCGGTACATAATTCAAAAATTTATGGAGGTTATGCACAAATTCGTTGGTACAGGGACGCCGCCGCGGCGTGGCGCACCATCCCCTCATAATTATCCAAATAATTCGCGATTAATTGTCCGCCCACTGCGCGTTAAACATCAGAATGGTGTCGTCGAATTAAACAAATGGCTTCCATAATTATGGGATGGTTATGGCGCTTTTAATTGATGAGTTAATCATCCTCCCGGATTATCGGTATGAATCAGCCTCCCGAGGCGTTGAGATGGGTGGAAGGCGTTGAATCGTGAAGGAGCTTTGATGTAATAAGGATCTACCCATCTGCGGTTAGACCGATAGCTTCATTAACAGCGGCATCGATGTCACTGGGACTGACTGACCCCCGAGGCGATACTCACCGAGAGTGAAAAAGAGTCTGCGGGCGGGCGTCAGGTAGATAAATCGACAATGATTTATGACGGGATAATGAATTCCATCGCGCAGTGGGCTCTTAACCTTCGACTACTTCAATCGCTAGTTAACCAATTAGGGCCACTGTTTCAGGGATACGATATCTCATTACGATCTGATGGTGCAGAGAATAGTCGACACCGATCGCGTTAACTACGCGTAATGAACGATTTATTGTTCTTCCAGCGCTCGCTGGCGATCTGATGTTGCGTTAGAAATCGTGTCGGTTTGAGGCTCATTACACGAAAATAAAAAATCCAGCGGCTCGATTCTTGACGATTTTCGATTTGATTCAGGACATATCTGTTTTTTTTTGGTGCTGTTTACTAGGATGACTGGCGACTTCTGAGACATTGAATCGATTCAATTTATCACCGACTCGTTTACCAGCTGATGGGACTAACCGGATTTTTTTTCTCGAAATTCTGATTCTATTTGAATCTTTAAATTCTGTTGATTATATTTGAATAATATTTTTCAGGCTGTTGTGGTTGGAACATTCAGTGAATTCACTAGCTAATAATTAATTATCCGTCTTCTGTCATAACATTATTTTTATTGATTCAATTTACGCCGTCATCAATTGATAATTAGTGAGGTTATGCGGCCTTGAGTACAGAGACGCCACCACGAGGTGGCGTCATTCTTATTTTGAAACCCTCGGCGAAAATAATATGCAATTTTCTTTATTCCCCCGCGAATCGCGCAACTATTAAACACCAGAAGAAAGCACTTTAATGACAACAATCAAGAATTAATGAAGAGTCATTAGACAAAGCGTACGTGGTCATAGAACAAATCGAGAACTATTGTACAATCACTCCATTTATGACCGGAAATTGTGTTTTCACTCGCGTGTCAAAGGTTCACGCATTGCTACCACAGAATTTAATGGAATTCCCTGTTTTAAAACTTTATAACTTGAATTTATTTTCCCCGACTTTCACTGTGAACCTCATGAACCGGAAATCGTGAAAATTTTGAATGACAACGGGAAAATCACTCGAGAATGATTCCGCCTCCGTGAAATTTCCGTCATATCGCCCTCTTTATCCACTCGTCAGCTGATCACTAGGTCATTCAGAATGGAATTGAGTCGTCTATTATTTTCTGCGGTATCATCACTCTCACCCGTCTCGCCACAAACTACAATACGAGGATTTCTAGTCGCTGGAAATATCTTTACGCAGGAAAAAGAAAACTCTCGGAAGAACTCACAATTGATGCACATCGCTGGGAATAAATAATCATTAATGTACACTGACCTGGCATTAGACGCTCCTGGGGATATCCCGAGACGACACATGCGACGGATAAAACTGCCCAAACCAAGATCAGGTAACTCTTCATGATTTTCTCACTAATCAATTTTTTAAATTTTCAATCAGTCTATTGTCACGACTTTTCGCGCGCGAATTTTATTTTATGTTCTCTTTATCTGGGGTAAGACTTCTTGATGATTTTTATGAGTAATTTATCTGCGTCGAGTCATTCAATTTGTTTTGGGAATTGATTGACCGAACTTGATCTATTGATTGCGGGACGGGGGTCAGGGGAATGGGGGGGGAATCGTAAAAACTTGATAGAGTGAATTAAAATGGAATATACGAGGAGCTCTTGACGCTGACGTACACAGCGGCAGTCTGGAGGGCTGCCAGGCGCTTTCACCGGTTTTATACTCCCAGTAGAAAAGCACCTTCTTCATCGCGGAGCGCAGAATGGAGAGGGGAATCGGGTCGGTAGTGATAGGAGACTCGGGGCGCATTTTTTTTTTCGTCTCTTCGAGTTTTCGATTGAGGGGTACAGTAATTAATGATAATCGGGTAGTTCCTGGATTGAAAGGGGTTGGTGCCACCTCGCGGTGGCGTCCTGGTACCCCGGGGAGATCGTATCCTCTCAGATCCAAAATTAATTAGTCAATCACGAGCGGATCGATCTGAATTACGATTTTATTTCGGGTATGTGGGACAGGTGATTACTCGGATGATGGGTGATTGAAATAATGGAACATTTATTCTGAGTCTTTGGAGACTTGAGTTGGGTTTTTTGGATGCGCCCTAGATTATGGATTATCGTTACATTTCTACCGCTCACTAGACTTCAAGAATCGTAAACACTCTGTCATCAAACATCGTTAATTACCGTTGGAATAGACTGTGTATGACAGATAATAAAGCAGGTTTATACCTTCACCAGGTCTAAAGGGATGTCGTAAAGTCGGGGTAGCGGGGAGAAAATAGCAGCGTGTTTATGCCTTTGGAAATTATATTTTACGAGGTATTTTTTTAATAAGCCTCTCTCGGGGGTACTGTCAATCCACTTAACACCATTATCGGAGTCGTTAAAATTTTTTCACCGATAAAAATGCAGGGATCAAGTTTAAGGAATGTTAGGTTCCGAGGTCTCCCGATAAATCAGGTTCATTATGATTTCTACCCTTTCATTCGAAGGTTCAGCTCCACTGAATTCATCCAACCGCTTCGAAAAACTCGCAGACTCATTTAATTTTTTTTTTTTTTTTATAAAACATCAGAGGGAATTTCACTACAAAATTTTCTCCCGCGATGAAAATCATTTTCACACTCTCCCGCAAATTTCTAATAAAAAATAACTTTTAATTTCGCATCATTGCGCAATCTGCGATAATCCCGTGCGATAAAAATCTCAATAAAACCCAACGACCGCGTAAAAAATCCCATCAGCACCTCAAAAACATTTTCAGAGAAAGCGGTATACAAGAAAAAAAAATCCCCGCGAAAAATACACGCGGATTGTATTTTTCAGCCATAATTTTATGCCTCTGAAGATGAAGTTGAATAAAAATCTTTTATAAAACTTCAAAAATATCGCATTTCAGATATTTCTCCTTGTGCAAATTTAATTGCCCAGATTCACGACACATATTTTCATGTCCACATTTTCTTCAGCATGCAAATGTACAAGATCTGCGTGTAAGGACTTGTAGCATAACTCACAGGAACCCTGCGTTCTGCAATTGCACCAACAGCCTCTTTTGCGGCTTGCATTACAAACGTGGGTGTACACCGGGCTTTTTCGATCTCAGATTGATCGGCAAATGTATATCACCATTCCCTTGTTTATCGTCAAAGGAGAATAGATTGTCCCGTACAGATTGATTTATTTTTTATCGATGACTAGCAGGAGTGTAGGTGGGTGGCCCTGAACTGCAACGACAAGATCAATCCGGATATTTCTCTTCAATTGATCAGCCTCACCCTCACCCGGATAAAAAAAAAATCGTAATCGGAATATTTTTTCCAAATTTTCAAAAAATTTCTGGAAAACTTTTCAGAAAATTTTTCTTTCAAAACGAAAAAAAAAGTCGGGAAACAAAATAATTGTATTTTTGAGAAATGTTTTGAAAATTTTTTCAAAAATTTGTTTCGGAAAATCTTTTTAATAATTTTCTACAAATTTTTACGAATATAATTTTTTTTTAAATTATACTGTTGTTTTCTTACTTTTTCGATTTTTCAATATTCTCAAAAAATACGTCATCTAAATTATAAAAAAATTTTGCCGCTCTCGATAGAGCGGATTATATTTTATAACACGACCAATTGATGAAGTAATTCCCATCTAATCACGCAAACACTTTCATCGATGATTGTGCATGTCGTGAGATGACTGCAATCGCATTGTCCGGTTATCTCACCCTTTATATTATTCAAGACTATGAATACAGTCTCGAAATCAATGCTCTGCGCTCAGATGATGGCATTGTAAACACTCGAGACTGCAAGTTGGGAAATTGCGGTAGGTTATCCTCGAAGTCAGTGTTACAATGATGTAGAGCTCTTGAATACCATTTGTAATGCCAGCCCAAGATTTCAATAGAAGAAGTCAAAACAGGCGAGGCTGAGTGATTTTGATGACGTGTTACGTTTTAGATTATGCAAAGTCAATCCTGAAGATGAAAACAGATGCTAAAAAATTTCCACTCTTTCCACGAATATTTATGTTTACTACCAGTACATTCTGAATAATTAAACGAACATCAGATAAAATTGATGATCGGAGCAATAAATTTTATTGCTCTGTCGTAGTAAATATTCCGGGGGGCCCGTGATTTTTTTTATCCATTTTCCGATTTTTCGTCGATTGTCGGAGAGAAATATTACGCGTGTCGATGGTGTCGTATCTTGTCACCCCGCGTGATGTAGTGGCAACAAATTCAGTGATTCAATTGCATCGATCTATGGCAACTACTCCGATGAACACCATGAAACACCAGGCGTTCTCTATTATTGCACCTGGTGGGCTTATACGCGGTTGAGGTCAGGTGCAATTGGAATTTCATCGTTTCACTCCGTGCGTGAGTGGACTATCATCAAGGATTCCGGTCAATCATCGGGGATTTCTCAGTTTTTTTTTCTATTAATTGGCTGACGGTAAACAAGGCGCAATCAGCGGACAAATGAATCGCACGATCCGATGACTAAAAGAATATAAAAAACGCCAAGGATTTTATTTAAAAAAAAATACATTTTAATTCGCGATTATTTATATTTAATAATTCCAAATAAAAACTACGTCCCAGTGAACCCCAAAGCTGTTGACCTCGTTATATTGACGGGGAGTCATTAAAAAAATGGGGGGAGAAGAAATATTTTCTCTTGTCGAAGAATCGAACAAGCTAACCGTTTTGAAATAATTGTTTCTTATCTTCTCTGTCCAATAAATTTTGCACATTTTTTTTTTCGTCATAAAATTACTTTGCGAACACATGTAACACCTCCCGCGAACCCCCACGTAATATTATTACAGACCTGGGCATTACGTTATGGTTCCGCATCGGTGAGAGAGGCATATCCTCGTGATTCAGAGCCAGTTGTTGGAAGTGCAGAAGCGAATTGTCGTGTCTTCTTGAACAATACGCGTCTTATCGCGTATTCCACATCTTTTATTTTAGAATAAAATAGGGATTTGATACACCAACTGCTGTCACGAGGTATTTGCTAAAGGCTGCGCATGTCGCGAAAGTCACCGATAACTTTCTAAGGTACATCCTGATGGAATCGTCAGATGAAATATCTCGTTGCATTCGTCACGACGAATTTCTCACACGATTTTTTAATTAATGCCATCTCCATCTTTCGTCATTTATTCTAGGCCATTCTTATTTTACAAAGTCATCACGGTGTGACGCGTGCGTGGATGCGAGTGT